ATGATTCTAATGTAATAAATAGGGATATGTTACAAGACCTTGACTGTACTGACCCTCAGACCCTTTTCAACCACTTTTACAAGACAATTTTGGTACTTAACCAACAGCAGACAGTAAACACAAGCACAGGGTGATGGTGAATGTTCCCATAATGGGGATGGCAACTACAGAAACACATGTTGCAGACAACGAGTGAGGAGCACAGATCCACACAGGAGACTATAGTCACTCTCACAATGCACCGCACAAAGCAGCTGACTCTGGGCTTCCCCTACACTGATTGCATAAAAGTGAATTTACCTCGCAAATAATGAATTTTTGGTATAAAAGGGTCATCGTATAAGAGCAAGTTCACACGTGCAGAACCCACATAAAGCGAGGGAAACCTGTATGTTTATTTGGACTTCTAGGCCAGGCAGGTTCAACAGACATAACTGAAGTTTTAACTTGGCTTGGAGAGCCTCTAATTTATGATAATATTTGAAGAAGAGAAAAAAAGAAAGAAAAAAAAAAACGCACCCAAGTGGGTTGGTTGTTTTTTTGTTTTGTTTTGTTTTTTCTTAAGCTGAATTTGCAGCAGCCCTGGTAGTTTAAAAATATTGTATACTGAGCATATCGGATATGAGAGTGATTCAGAAAATGAACATTGCACCCCATAATACCATTCTTGGAATAGAGTTTCAGGATAACACCATGCTCAAGCACCGTATTTAGGAAGAAGTAGTGTATTCATATCTAGCAAATTACAGTAAAATACCAGTGAAGATGAGGTGGTTTGTAGTTTTCATGAGGAACTCATGAAACTGATGTGATGTCAAGTCTAACTCATGAAAACGAACGCTCTTGTCTTCCCCGGGACTGTATGTTGAGTTGTTTGCTATCAGCAAAGCATCTAGGCACTCAAAAAGACAAGGAAGTGAACACATGAGTTAACTCTTTTTAAGAAGACCACTTCCTTTTTCTTACTAAAAACAAGGCCCTGTATTAATTTTCTTTATACCTTCCTGTTTCATTAGGTGGTCTTAAGTCTTGCTTTTCCATTGTGTCCAACAAGTAGTTAGTTTAGCATACACGTTGATTTAAAAAAAGAAAAGAAAATTAATGAGCTTTAGTTACTACAGCATTACAATAAACTGGATTCCATAAGCATATTGGGCATCAAATATTGCAGAAAAATTATGAAAAGTTTATACCTCATCTTGAGTGAAAATCAAGCAAACCTTAGTGCAGAGGTGGGCAAAATGCAGCCAACAGAGCCCATAAAAAAATTCAGAAAATTAATATTTATCTGCCTCTGGCTGCCTGTCATGGGGCCCTCGATGGCTTGTCAAAACTCAGCAAGCGGCCCTCCGCCCAAAATAATTGCCCACCCCTGCCTTAGTGCGTGGATAAAGCTAGAATGTCTTGCATTCAAAAGTTTTTCTAACTTTATCTTTAATTGAACCAACTATGTAGTTAGGATATTGCCCAAAGAAGTCTTTGCTTCCTAGTAGTCTCATGAAAATAATAAAACTGGCTAAAGCATAACTTATACTTAATAAAAAGGAAACGGTCACCCCAACATGTTGAATCAGATAGAAACCCATACCCAACACACTTCTGCTAGCAAGCTTTTTGTGAGTTTCTTCATCATCTGATTCTCCAAGCAATGAGGTATGCAAAATGCCTTAATTTATTGAGAAATTTACTTAGCTCTATAATGGAAAAGTTTTACATTGTCACAACTCTATTTTATCTCTAGTAACACCCTAAATATAAGTGTATCTTTCATTTATATGGTGGTTTATTTCATTCCGGCACTGATAGTGGATGGTGTTTACAGTTATTGTCTGTGGGAGAGAAATAGAGCTGGGTGTTGTCCAAATACTTTTGGAATTAAAACTCAAGATGTCTTGCAGCTTGCCTAAGTTTATGGTACATTCATTACTGTCAGCCAGTTAAATCCATCAATAGTTTGCTGTGTCAAGAGGATGGTGTTTGTAGGAGCCTTGTAGAACTTCAGAGGTAGGAACGCCACAGAATAGATGTGCCTTTGTCTATCACAGTCTTAAGGAAGAATTGAAACTGGCTCAATTTTCTTGCCAGTTACTCCTGCTAAATATCTTGAAGCAGTCCCCTGACTTAAGAGTTTCAGATACTGTTGAGAAGTTTAGAAGGACGAATGCGGGTAATTTCCTTTAGTGCGGTGGACACCAACCAGTGGATCTCAATCCACCAGTAGATCTTGGAGTCGATCTGAGGCTGGGCTGGAGGCCTGAGTGCCCGCGTGCGTGCACGCACATGCCCTAGCCCAGCAGGTCAGTCCGTGGGGGAGGGAAGGGGCAGGGGCTAGATCGAGGCCCCAGCAGTGAGCAGGGTTAAGTTGAGTGGGGCCCCAGCTGGGTGGGACTTACCTGCGCCCCCAAATCATTTTTTCTCAATCTGCCCCCCCCCCCCTCCCCCCCCCCCCCCCCCCCCCCTTCCCTCCCTACAGACTTGCCTGCTGGGCGGGGTGGGGGTTGGGGGGGGTCTGGTGGCCGCATACAGTAGATCTTGGGTTGTTTTTAAATGTCAAAGGTGATCTACTTAACAAGGTTGGAGACCACTGCTCTAGTGTATGACTAAAAGGTCACCATTCATGCAGGCAGCCTTCACCTCTGGCAGATCAGATCCTAGGCTTGAATGTGATTGGAAAGATTTATTATTTTGGCAGAAATTGATATTGGGGACTTTATTACTTTGCTCAGGAATAGAAGATTAGATGTTTGCAGTTGTTTACAAAATCATATATATTGAAAATTATTTTCTGGCATACCCAGTATATAAATATATGGGTATGTTCCTTTTTTTTTCCAGAAGTCTATGATAGGCTGAGAATTCATTAGTTGGAGGAGCTGGTATTCTTTGATTACCTTTAGTAACTAGAAGTATTGGTGCAAATGTGTTTTGTTTGGTGTTTCTTTTCCTTCCTATTTAAACAATGGGATGCTGTATCTGATTTGTACTTATCCATTAATTCTGGAATCCAGTATCGGTGACCTTTGAAGTGAGCTGATGGCTTCTTTCTGCAATTGGTGCTAGCTCTTTAGTGTTGACACAGTTCTGAGTAGCTTTATTACCTGGGTTTGAAAGAGACCCATGGTTTAGGTATGTCACCATAGGGCAGGGGTGGAGAATTATTTCGGCTTGCGAGGGCCACACATAAAATCTTTCAGAAGATGTAATTTTAACAAATTGTATTTTTAAAAAAATTAAAAATCAAACATCTACTATAACATTATTTTTAAAATCAAATTAAAATATTTTTGTCCTCATTTATGTCTTTTTGAGTAGTGTATTTAGAGGGGATTGTATAATAGCTCAAATAAATATTATGAAGGGGGAATTGTGGGGGCTAGGTTCCAGGAGCCAGCCAGGGGAGTGGGGAAGGGAGTGCGTACAGTAGAGCTCACCCAGGAGATACAGTGCAGGCACTCTTCCTCCTTCCCTTCCTTCCCATCTGGCCTGTGGCTGCCCCTGCAGTGCTCTGCATTGGGCCAAGCCCTGCCCATTCCCACCTGAGACAAACTGCACCATGCTTCCGCCTGCACCTGCCCCGTGCCCACCAACAGCATTTCCCCAGCCAGCGCGCCCAGCTTCCCAGTGAGGCTGCTCCTGCTCTGCAGCCTCCTTGTTACTCTCCCCCTGCCTCCAGCGGCTCTTCTCCTGCTCTGGTCCTGCTGCTCGGGACAGCAGGTAGCATGGGGCACCACATGCCCAGCTGGGGGTGAAAGGGAGGGGAGGCAGGAGGAGCTGCAGTCAGATGGCTCCTGCCCCATAATGCAGGACTCCAGCTCCTGCTCCTGGCTGCCTTCCACCTATTCTGCCCACCCAGTGCAATGAGCAGCCATCTGTTGGGCAGCTGAGTGGGTGGAAGGCAGCCCTGCTGGGAAGCTGGGTGCACTAGCCAGGGCAGCATGGTCGGTGGGTGCAGGCAGGAGCAAGGCGCCGGTTGCCATGGGTGTGGGAGCAGTCGGGGCTTGGTCCCGTGTGGACTGCTGTGGAGGCAGCCCCAGGCCAGATGCAATCTATTAGCAGGCTGGATCTAGCCTTCAGGCTGTATTTTACCCACCCCTGCTTTTGGGCTTTGGTGACATAGCTTGTTAGTGACTGATAGCATTTCTTGTCACTAATGTAGCCTTCTACTTTTACAGCCACATGAGAACCACAGGTATAGCTGTTTGTGTGTAATGGGCAGGGGGGAGGAGGGGGCCGGCGAGGACATGCTATTTTTGCAGCCAAGTATGTTTATGGCACTGGGTACTACTATGTGCCCATTGCCTTTTTGTGCTCACTTCTTTGTCTGCCAGTGTAAGCAGGTGCATTGCTAATAGCAAATCTGACTTGGTCGAGGCTTAAGTCTACAGATGGTTGTTAGATTACAGTTTCAATGACAAGTATTTAAAGTTTCACTAAAAGATGAAGCTTCACTAGTTATTTCTGATTTATGATACTAAACAGGAACATATAAATGGTCATCTCTGTGGTGTGTATATGTGATCTGAAAATGGCATCAAAGTCAACTAAGTAATCTTAATTTTTAAGTTTTATTTTTTTCTAGTTTTGACTCCCTCTGTTAAGAGATTAATTTGGAAAGTTTAAGCTATTGTACCTAAATGTAAAAACCTGAGAGAGAGAACCAGAATTTCTCTACTTCATTCTTTGACATGAATATTTTCACTGTATATGCAGTTTGTGCAAGGCCAGTATGAAAATGTAATTGCTCTAACACAGTACATTAAGTGTACTGCTTTTTTGATCAATGGTTGAATTGTTTTGGAGTACAAATTAGGATTCCCTGATTTCATAATTGCCTTCAAAAACAAAGCTGAGGCAACATTTTATATTGCATAAAGCAACATATATCCAGTAAATGTGAACAGAAGAATAGCTGTACCTCTCCTAAAACGTGTTTTAAGCAGAATAGCTTGGTATATATAAATCAGTGTATTATGTTAACTCTTTCTTTTTGTTTCATCTAGTTTAAGGAAGAAATCTCTAAGCGTTTCAAGTCCCACACTGACCAACTTGTGTTGATATTTGCTGGGAAAATATTAAAAGACCAAGATACTCTAACCCAGCATGGGATTCATGATGGACTTACTGTTCACCTTGTTATCAAAACACAAAACAGGTAACCTGACTGCTGAACTGTCTTCTATTTCACTGTAAAAAGCAAGATATATGTTGTGGTAATATGATCTCTAACAGTCTTTGTTCTGGAGAACTAGATGTGATGATAGAATAGTTTTCTCACTCCTGGGTCCTGGTTGTCAGCCATACACAGGCAGAAATTCCCTAGACCTTTTAAAATTCTTGTCCCTAAATTCAGCAATAGAGACTAGCTTTCTCTCTTGGAACTCAGGTGCCACCTTCTGAACTTTAACCATGTCAGCTTTAAAAAAAGAAAAAAGATCAGCTCCTTGACCTTCCTGCCATGGTTGTTTCCACATTTCTCATTTGTTGCCCATAGCATTCTTAAGTATGTATTCTCATTCCTTGTAAGAGTGAACAAAAGCTTATTCAGCACCTCAGGCCAAGCCCAATCAGCAGTATCTGCTTTCGTCTTTGAGCAAGCCGTCAAATGCAGAGCAGAAATTACAATATGGCTTCTTTCGTGGGCTTAATATGCAGTTGAGGGCAGCTCCATGGCAGTTGGTGAGTCTGCATGTAAAAATAGTGTTCTAAGAGGCCTTCTTCCCTCCAGCTATTTCTGATGTCTCTGCATATTGCATAAAGCCTGTTCAAAGACTTCCACTGCTAGGTCAGTGATATCAGCCTGGAATGAGGCTGGAGTACTTAATAGACGCCAACTTTTTTTTGGCAGGTGTGCCATAAAGTAAGCCTCACCACCTCTCCCAGTGCCATTCCAGTCCCCTTCCCTGTCCTGATCTTTTGCTTTTCTCTTGCCTTTCTGCCCTATCTTCTGCGCCTGTTGCTCTGCTCTTTATTCCCTGGCCTATCTGTTCCCATTATCTCTGCTCCCTGTTAGATCCTCTGCCTGCCATGGGAAGTGGTCCACTTGGGACATGCATGACTCAGGTTGGCCACTCTCTTGGGGTAAACCACGAAAACAAAAGTGTAAGTTGGCCAAGAGAGTTGAGCAAAAACCCAACTTTGGCTATTGTGGCCTTCTGTTATAACCAGTTGTTTACCTCCTCTGTCTTTTTACTATGTCAACTTTTTCATGTGGAAAAATAAAAAAGACAATCAAAATGATCAGGAGTATGGCATAGTTACCATTTCAGGGGAGATGTTTTTTTAAAAGTTGGAGTCTTCCAATTTGGAAAGGAGAGGGCAGGATAGATTTGATTTAAATTGTGATTTAAATTGCAGTTTAAGTCACCGGTCAGGAAGCCTTGGTTTAATCATTGTATTGTTGTTTGGTGTAAACTTAATACATATTATTCACAACTTGGAGATGGATGTAGGTTTCATTTTTAAAAGGTGCATGCTATACATTTTAAAGCACTAATTGATTTTGATTATTTTTTCAGCTTAATTTTGCAGCTACATCAGAGAACTGAATTATGATTTAGTTATTTTATTTACCAAAGCTAATTGAAGCAACTGCTTGTCAAGTCATTGGGAGGTGAACTATCTCCAGTTCACTAGATTAATCATGGATATTTGGGGGATATTTTTGCCACGCTGTATTAGGAGAACAACAACAACAATCACCAAAAACAACAGACATTTGAATTGTTTCATGTAACTAAAACAACAAGATTATGTATTTCGGATATTTTTCTTCAACAAACATGTATAATTATTTTAACAAAACAAGCATATGTATTTTTGAATTTTTAACTATTTTAGTTACAAATGTGAAATGTGTTTTTAACAAAAAAATAAATGGATTATTTCAGCCAAGTCAACATGAGAAACTTAAAATACTGGGTTATACAGCAGACTCAATCTTCACCTTCCTCTTCCTGTTTATTCATAGACTGGACAAGTAAGACAAGCTCAGTTCACAGAGATGCTTAATGGGATCTTTTAGACTGAGCACTAAGTCCCATTGGGTAGAATGATTTTCTTTTGATCTTTACAACTCTATAGAGCAGCCTCTGGGAACCCCATAAGATTGGGCCCCTAATATAGTTCCTGGCCTGTTGTGACCTATTTTATAAAACTTTTCTAAAAGGGTTACATTAATATATTGTCTCAAATAGTATATAATTAGAAGTTATAATTCCTATTCTATGATATCTTTTTTAGCTTTAACACATCTTAAATTAAAATTATCTTTATATAGGTTTATTTTTTTTAAAGCATCTTAAACTAAATACGATTAAATAAAAAAAATCTGATTTAAATTTTTTTTTTAATTTAAAAAAATAGTTGATTTTTATCTACCCTGGGAGTGGGAGGAAGAAATAATAGAATTGTGGGGCGCCCCCAGACGAGTGCAGTATGTGGTACTGCAAACATGTTTGCAGTGTCACGTACTACAAAGTCCGGTGTTCTCCGTGCTGCAAGGGTGTGCTGCTCGAGTGTGCTCTACTCCGTCTCTTTTTTCTGGATATCCAGGTGTCCAAAAAAAAAATTGAGGAAAAACAAAACGGAGCAGCACATATTCAGGCAGCATGCACTGCTGAAAAGCAGAGCTGGGCCACCCGGAGCCGCACAGCTGCTGCCAGCCAGGCTCTGCCCACCAGATCACCATGGCTGCATCCCCAGGAGGACCCCAGGTAAAGCTGCTCGGGCTAGCACAGTGCTGGCTCCAGCCTCCCCTACCACTCCTGGGTTAATTTTCCACATGTCAAAGTGCACGTGGCATGGCCATTCCCCAGGACAAGTAGCTGAGGTGCAAGGTGTACCACTGCTACTTGTCCCCAGGAAACCAAACATCCACGCACATCTGAGCATGCCCATGAAGCATGTGGGCAGAGTGAATAGAGAACTGTTACTCAGAGTCCCTGAGTACTTGGGGGCACTCCCTGAAATTAGCAGAAGACAGGTTTAAAACCAACAAAAAGTATTTTTTCACACAGCATGTGGTTAATTTGTGGAACTCAGTGCCACGGGAGGTTGTAGAGGTAGATGAAATGGCTACATTCAGAAAGGAACTAGACAAATTCATGGATGATCTATTAATAGTTATTAAACTGAACAGTCAGAAATGTATTGGGTAGGATATCTAAACCAATGATGGTGAACACAAAGGAGGGTATTGACCAGGAGATGGATTGCTCTCTAGAAATACCTTGTTCATATGCTCTTCCTCTACAACCTCCACTACTGCCACTGTTGGATTCCATTAGTCTGACCCAGTATGGCACTCAACTTCTTCTGTTGTGGTCAGATGTAGAAAAGGTGCTTATTTAAGAATAGGTTCATATGTTTTTGTTGGGCCATCTTTTACACTTTTTTTGAAGCAGCTGATTTTGTGTTCACCCAGTTTGGTTGCTGTGGCCAAACGTACATCTCCCAAGCTTTAAAAATTGTTCTTTATAGTAGCCTTAATGCCTTTTTTAAATAATCAACATACCAGGAGCAAATTTTTCCTGGGGAAAAGACACATTACAGAAATGTGTACCACATGTAAGTTACCTTCTAAAAAGACTCCAAGACCACGTAAATCTCAATTAAAAAAGATGTCATTAGAGAGATAAATAGGTCCCTCTTGATCTGTATTTCCCTGGCCCCAAATGTCTGAGCCTTCTGTATTAGAAAGTACTTCTGATGCCATAGGAGTACAAAACTCAACCTCTTGAAAAAACTTCAGGCCAGCTATTCTTGGATGGTGTTTAAGGTTGACTCCAAGAAATACGGTACTTAGGAAAAGATACTAATTTCTGGCATCTTCCTCCATGGCTACCAGCTTCACATGCATAATAGCACCAGTGGTCCTTTTGAGTTTTATGGGGAATACCCCATGCAAACATGACTTCATCAGTATCCCAGTTCAGTACTAAGGCTGCTTTTAAGTATTGCAGAGAGGTGACCTTGCAGCCCCTTCACATTGATCCTTGTCCTCTTCTGATTAGGTAGCAGTCATCAGCTTTCACTCTAGACTGTTCCAAGACCTTCCAGGCTCTGACGACAGGAATTGCCAGTAGGTTCAAGATTCCAGTTTAGACGGTTCAAGATAAATCTGTCATCTTGATTGTTTCTAGCCTTGTGTCCTGAATGTTTTGCTTATATCTGTGAATGATGGTCTCTGAGATCCTGGCACCACATTATGGTTATATAAATCAGTCTTTCAGCCTCCAGTCTGTTTACCAGAGTCTGTATCAGGGATTTGAATAATTTAATATCCTTTTTATGTCCAGTTTCCTGGAAGTGGCAGCTAACTGAAAGCTCATGTGTAGAGTCTGTTCTTAAAGATTAAGACTTGAAACAAATGGGACTGATTCAGAAGGGAAAAGCTGTTCTTGTGTATTTCACCTGCAAATCAGAATTCTCAAACATAAAACCTGACTGACAAAATATATGATGTTGGTTACCTGAGATTCTGTTAAAATGCACAGAAAATATTATCTATGACAGTAGAAAGGAGTTCAAATCTACCATGTGATCTTGGAAGGTCAGTTTGTGATTTGAAAATCTGTCCGTGTGTCTAAGTGTTGAAGAATAAGGCTTTGAGACCAATGGTAATGGCATTTGCATTGCAGAGATCTTACAGGCTTCTAAAAAGAATCTCCTCTTTCCATGGTTATGATGCTCAAGAAGATGGCACTTGTTCAGAGGTCTGCATATCATGTTACGCTTTTAGGTGTGAATACCCCAGCTCCCAAACAGAAGTATTATAAACCAGTACCTCAGCAGCAACTGCATTGTTTCAATATAGGTAGAACGAACTAGGAGATACCTATTTTTTTGGACTTAAATCTTTGGTTTCAGTCTTCTCCAAGTCTAATTCCCCATCTGTAGCTACCTATTATCAGTAAAAAGTATTAATACTTGGCCTGTTAATAAGAAGGGTTTTCATAAAGTGCCTTATGGTAATGATGGTTTACCTCAAATCTTAAAAGTCCATTATTTCCAGTACTTAGTTGACTAGTTTATTTGTGGGAGATACCAAGAAGTATCAGATTTCATTAGCAGATTCTGTATCTTTGCTTGTTTAAAACTTAGAATTGGATCAAAGATACCATTCTGAGTGAGTAAGATTTTTCAAGCAGCAAGTGTCATCTCAAATCACGCTATGAAATGTGGATTTATAGATGAAATTATTTAGTAGTGTGGCATAAAATAATCACAGTGGACCCTAAAATCCCAGTTGGAAGCAGTTATTCCCTCTGGCCCACTGGGAGACCAGAGGCACCCTGCAATTAAGAATGAACTTCAAAGAGCACGTGCATTCAATTTGGAGTAGATAGGCTATCATGGATGTGGAATTGTTCACTCTGCAAATTTGGTTATTCCAGGAATAGCTTCACTTGGGAGTTCTAGGTCCTGTCAAACTCCCTTGTATTCCAGAATTAACTTGTTTAGGTTTGTGTACTCTGTTTCCAAGGGCTATTAATTCTGAATAGATGATAGGGCTCAGTACATGCTGCTATGCCTATGGCTTGAAAACTGTTTTATATTTGCTGTAGACCAGGGATGTCAAACTCATCTGGCCCCATAGGCAGGATGAGTGGGTGGTATAGGACCAGTCCATGGACTGGATCAGGCCCATGACATGCCCCCACCCCACCCCACACGCTGAATCTAGGCCATGTGCTGCCTAAACTGGCCAAACTGGGCTCTGCATGCAGCACAGGTCCCAGAATGGGCAGTACAGACAACACAGATGGGCTGGAGTAAGTAAATGCTGTGCAGGACCTGCATTCTGGGTCAGCTGGAACAGGCACTGTGTGCTGCATGCATCACAAGCCCTGCATGTGGAGCCAGTCCAGCATGCGCCATGTGGGTCACATGTGATACCCAGCAGCATCACCAGGGGGTGAATGAGGGGGCTTTGTAGTCTGAAACTTTGACACTCCTGCTGTAGACCATTTACAGCTGAATCAATACACTTTGACCAAACTAAGTTTATCACAGTGTCCCAGCTAGAAAGAGTTGGGTAGGAGGCTTTTACTCAGGACTCTCAGAAAACTAACTTAGTTTGTTCCTGCAGGGGGACAACATAGGAAAGGAGCTGAATTGTTAAGTTCTGTGAGAAGAGCTGGAGTTTTGTCAGGGAAAATGGCCAACAGAGTAGTGCTTCAGTGACTGGCTAGAATCGTCCTCATGGTGTTAGTGGGAGCCAGATCCTTTTGGTGGTATTTGGGAATACAATAAGAAAGTCAATTCAGGGCTTGTCTACGTGGGAAATTACTGTAGAATAAACCATGATGTAAATTTCTGGTGTGCTAATTAATCAACTATGTGGACACTTAGGAGTAAGTAGCAGGAAGCTTTCTCTGCTCTCACTGTCTTGGAGATTCTAGATTAATTCTGTGCGAGTTCGTTATTCATTTCGACAAGGGCACCTTCGTGCCACGTTCTAAAATAGGGGAGGCCAACCTGTGGCACATATGCCACAAGTGCCATGAGCAGTTTCTGTGTGGCACATGGCAGATTAGAGAGGGGATAGGCAGCACAGCATAGCAGATCAGGCAAGAGAAAGGGATTGGGATGGCACTTGGAGGGCTGGGGCCTAATTTATGGCGTACCTGGCAGAAATGGTGGTCTGCCACTGATCTAAAGAAATATTAGGGTAAATTACTTGGGATCCAAAAGTAAATAATGGTATCAAACAAAGGAGAAGTCTTTCACCCTTAATTTGATGTAATATGTCTTGAGAATATTGTTAATATACATTCTGGTCATTTCTGAAAACGACACCAAGTTATCTGGAGATCAACAAAGCAGTTTAAAAAAAAAAAAAAAAAAAAGGTTTTGCAGTGAACTAGTTTATAGTTTTAACTTGGTTTCAGATCACAAGATCATCCAGCTCAGCAGACAAGCAGCACTGGGAGTACTGCTACCACATCTGCATCGAGTAGTAGTACCTCAACACCAGCCTCAGCAAACAGCAACCCTTATGGTCTGGGTAAGATTCTTTATTGGTTAACTTGCTCAGGTGTCATTGTTGGGTGTCTACTTAATGTAGTGGTCAGCAACCTTTTTGGGCTGCGGGCCAGGATGACACAGCTGTGGTCAAAGGTAGATAGACATTAGGATATATCTGCTGCTACTTCTGTTATTGATGGCAGAGAGAGGCAGTAGCAGGGGAAAAGCTCCTGAAGCCAGCACTGCTTCTGTAGCAGCGCAGGGAGTGTATTCACTGCTGAATCCCCCCCTGCTGCTGAACGCCACCAAAGGCCTATGGCCACGGGCTGAATCAGATGGCCCTGGATCTGGCCTGTAGGCTGTAGATGTCCAATTCCCATTTTAATGGATAGAGTCCACATCTTAATATTTTGTTTTTTAAAAAAACAAGTTTTTCTCTTGCTTATCACTGTATCCCATGCGTTACAATAAGGTTTTATATTGAGCTTGGTACATCCTTGAAGTCTTTGTGTGGAAATTTTGCATAGAAGAATTCTGCTTTTGCTTCTTCTGGGAGTAGTGTCAGGAGTAGCAAGCTGCAACTACCATTTTGTCCCAGCAGTACTGAGAATTGTAAAGCTTCCTTTGATCTGTTTGTACTCCAGAGAGTATCTGAATTAGTCAAAGGAGAAGAGGGTATTATGCACATATTCTAAACAACAATAATAAAACTGCTGCTCAACCACCAAGCATGCTTTTCTGACCAAAGCATCACTGGGCCATATCTGTCTTAGTTTCTTTTCCAGATGGCACACATGTAGGGATGTACCTAAAAGTGTTGAGAGATGGTTTTTGGCAGCCCACTTGTGGGGCACAAAGCTGATTTTGGGGGCACTTCTTGGCAGTCCTGCCCCTGGATGAGGGGCTGGCTGCCATCTTGCTTGTAGGCTGCCTTCATGCCACCCCTCCGCTTGGCACTGATTGGTGGAGAGGCCCCAAAGTGGAGGAGGGGCAAGGAGGTGGCTGCCTTCTTGCCTGCTGGCTGCCCCTTGTGCCATCCTGCCTCATAGCACTGTTTGGCGGAGGAACCCTGGCCAGGGAGATGGGACAAGGGGGCAGCTGCCCTTCATGCCACCCCACTAGCCTTCACCATTGCCTTTTAGCAGCGAGGACTGCCAGCTCCCACTGGGGAGCCAGCATTTTATTTCTATTACATTTTTGTTGTGGATGTCGCAGGCAATTCCAAATTTTACGTTTTCTGCGAACCGCGTATTA